AGGGCCCTCTCGAAGCGCCTTGCGCAATTTGAACATGTATGAAATCAATATGGGGAGTATTTAAGGCTTATGTAGGTATTATATAGAGGTTATTTAGGAAATCAGTAGGGTTCAGGGTTTATATGTAATATGTAATAACGGAAAATAAAATTAGGGCTTGTAGCTCATGTACGAAAGCAGTCCTTTCGGTGCTGCGTTATATGTAGTACAGTTGATATTCAAAATGTCTGCATGGCCCTGAACACCCGAACATAGGAAATCATGCTTGATACTGTAGTATACGAAGATGATTTGGCATCAGCAGCAGCGTATACTGCAGCGTCATGTTCGAAAACGCTAGTGCTGCATGAATCGCATGTATTGCCGTGATAGCGTTGAGCCGACCAACACTTCTACTCCTAGGCTACTTCTCACAAGAGGCGTGTCCGTCTGCTACCCCAAAAACCAACTATGGGAAGTTGCTAGCCAAACACTCGATGTGCCTTAGGAGGACCCCCCACCCTGTAATAGGGTATAATAGGAATAGAAGAGGACCCTAACATAATCTTATTATCCCCTATAGTCGCTATTACTGGGTGGGGGGTCCACCTAAGATGTGCCCAACTCTCTTCCCCAAATCTTCTTAGGCATCTTTCACATGGCTCAGCGCAAGATTCCTTGAAGATGTTTTGAGGCAACCGTTTTTCAATAGTTGGCTCCAAAACTTTCTCAAAAATCTTAGGGTTTAGAGTTTAGGATCTAGGGTTTAGAATTTAGGGTTTAGGGTGAACCCCACAGCCTTGCCTTGATGGCATATTACGAAAAGCTGATACTATAGTCCCCCTTAAGTAGATAGCATATGGCTTTGGATATATTGTAGTGAGATCCCCATATACCCCATATTCTATCTACTAAAGGGGGACTATATATACACAATACCAAGTATGAGAGACTACACGTTACTACCGGGGGTCTTCCCCAGCTAGTAGCAGTCTTGCAACCCTGAGTCCTCCCTAATCTAAACCCTATTAACCCTAAATCCTTAACCCTAAACCCTACAAACCAAACAAATCCTAAACCCTATGAACCCTAGAAACTCTAGAAAGCCTAGACCCTAAATGCTGCCTGTTTTGAAAGCACGCGTGGATGAGGCAAGTGTAGACCTGGATGTTTGGCTTCAAGCCATGCTGGTTGCTGAGATCCTGGGGCTTTAGAGTTTAGGGTTTATGGGGTTTAGGGTGTAGAGTTTATAGGGCTTGGGGGTTATAGGGTTTGGAGTTCATAGGGTTTAGGGCTTAGGGCTTAGGGTTTAGGGTTTAGGGGCGCCGCAGTGCTTTGCAAGAGACTAAGGGCGTGTTCTTTGGGAGCGGGTCTAGGGTTGGTTTGGGGGTTTAGGTTTTGGCTGTAGTATCCTTAGACCTATGATAACAATAACATCCTTGATATTTGCTTAGGGTTAAACTATACTAAAAATTAAAAATAATTTCTAAGGATAGTACAGTTGGGAGTTCAGGGTTGACGGGTTTTAAGGCTGCAGGCCTGGGGCTTTGGCGCTGGCGGCTTTTGTTGAGTTTAGTCAGGGTCTCATGTAGACCCATGATAAATAACACCCCTCCTTTTAAGGGCCTTAATATTAGGATCCCTATTATTATCCCTGTTAAGGGCAGGGGATTTATGAATCATTGGTCTGCATTAGGTTTACGGCCCTTTTCAAGTGGATACACATAGACCAGTCAGGTTTCTGGAGGTACCTGACCCAATCCCAAGCCGTCTGGGTTTACGGTTTAGGGTTTAGGCGCCTGGTTCGAGGGACCCGCTTTATCAACCATCATAACATGCAAGATTTAAGCAATCCATATCTTGATCTAAGGATCATGTCAACACCTACCTTCTCAAAACCACCCGGCTGAGAACCATAAACCGCAATAAGCCACTCTCCCCAATCACTAAACCGCATGAGCCCTACTCCCCGAGCCCGCATCCCTGAACACTAAACCCCTACAGTCCCCCTTAAGTAGATAAAATATGGCGTTGGGTATAATATAATAAGATCCCCATATACCCCATATTCTATCTACTTAAGGGGGACTAGAAACCCTAAACCCTAAGCCCTAAAATGTCTTGTCCTCAACCATCTGCATTGCTTGGCCAAGGCGACGAGCATTACCCAGCCTGAGAAATAGTTCACTTACTGTTAAGAAACCCAGCTGAAATTATTACTGCTCACGATAGCAATGCTAAAACTACTCGTATCTTTTCATTATGCGACAACCCCCATGAATTGCTAGGGATAACTGTTGTCAGGCCCCCCAGCTTAAGTGGGTTGACGCTACCATGGGCGATGGCATGGATGCACTGACAATGAAGCAGTCGGGATGGACGTCAATTCGTGGGTGCCGGTCTGGTGCATTGACGATGGATGTAAGACAGGACCGGAGTCTGTCAAACGTCACGCGTGGGTCATGTATATATATATATATATTGCAGCGAACCCGTCCGGGGACCCAAACAAAAAAAAAAGAGGATACCCGAGATACGGTATACCTAAACCCTAATATCCATCTTACGCAAACTTGTTTTCATTCCTGTAACAAGTGCACAAACAACCAGCAGAGTCTGAGTCTCAGGCTAAAACCCTTGGGCGCCCGTATGCATCCTTAATCCCAGATTCCCGAACGGCCTCTAGTATATCTAAGTATATCCTTCTGTACCCCCCCCTAGAACCCCTGAAAAAGGCTTAAGGCCTATAATGTAACTTATTCTACCCTTAGACTGACGGTCAAGCATGGTCTATCTTTAGGGTTTTAGGGTTGGGGCCCTGAGGAGAAGCCTCCGAAAGGGACACCTGCAGATTGGGGCGGGGAGACTCCTTCATGAAGGCTTTCCTATCACCTCCTATACTACTGCCTGGGTTAACCCTTACGGTCATTTAGGCACAATATGGACTCACTAAGGGGTAATCTGGGGGCTTTGTGTTAGTAAAGCCATGAAATTAGAGGTCCCTCTCAAAGAACCCTCACCTACCTTCTACGAGTAACCTGGTCTTGCTGCAAACTTGCCATTCTGCGGCAATTCGCTTGAGAAATGTGGGACTGCTAAAGTGGCCTGCAAAGCCTGCGCCCTTTGACAGGAATCCAAGCAATTCCATTTTAGCACGGAACAGCCATCTACCCTTATGACGCTTAACAAATGCCAGAACCTCCGGAAACGCCATGATCGATTGGTATTTTTGGTGATCCTCATATTCAGACGTTTACACAAATGTGCAACGTCATGTGCGTCTGCCTGATATCAGGACCATATGGTACTTTTGAACATACATGGGAGACCCTTCTTTTTTGGACCCCCCCAAAACCCTAAATCCTCACCCCTAAATAGCAGTTTGCATTTTCTTTGCCATTATCCCAATAGAGCCGCAATATAATGAAATCATAGATGGCTTGTATTGAGCACCTCCTACATGGACATTCTCAAGCTTAGGGCTCCGCTAACAAGGGCTCACTTTGGATCTCAGGGACCCACACTTTCAAGACATTCCGACAGTATCCTTGGACCACATGCTGATGATAAACACCCACACGGGCTGACTATGGAATCCCGAAAGGCAACTACGATTTCCAGCAAACACCTTGACAGAACACACATGAGGGCCCAAATAGTCATCAAGATCATGGTCATAGACGCCTCGTCGTATACTTATGGTACAGGGTAGCTGGAGTACAACTCCATTGCTATTGGTAAGAACTTAGGCTTCCATATGAGCCATAGTCTAAACTCCTCGTGTCCGCCTTTATAACCCCTAAAACAGTCCCCTATATAATCCCATATATAAACCCCTTTAAGGAGTTTAGACTATGGCTCATATGATCTCAGCTACTGAGCCCTCAAACCCTAAACCCTGAATAGTAGTTTCCATTTTCTTTTCCATTATTACATATAGCCCACTCAGCTACCGAGCTGCAACTTCACCAAAATGCTGAGAGTGTAGTTGCTGGGCTTGATCCCAGATGCCTTCGCAGAGCTCAAGCTTGAGGCTCGGAGTTTTTATGCTTTAGCGCTTAGGGGTATTACCCAAAAGTAGGGGGTATCTTTCAAACGGGTTTTAAAAGGGGTTAGATAGGGTTTTGGGTTTAGGGCATGGGATCTAGGGTTTTTTTGACTTGGGGCTTATAAGCATAGGTGAACTGAGAGAGAGGGTTTGAGGTACGCTGTCCCAAACAATATGAATTTCCAAAGCGATCCAGCCACACTGCGAATCCCAAGCAAACCTACTGCCTATTTTAACGTGACACACATGGGTCGCAGGCTTGGTTCGGCGAAAATGGAACCAAGCTGTCACGCGGTTAAGGGTTCAGGGTCAAGGGGTTTACGGTTTAGGGGTTTAGGGTTTGGGGGTTAAGGGTTTAGGGATTAGGGTTTAGGGGTTGAGGGTTTAGGGTTCAGGGTCTGGAACCTACCCGAGGGTAAACTCCACATGTCCTCTCTGGACACTCCCACTGAAACCCCGAAACCACTGAGCACATTCGCAGTTTGTTGCCCATATGACTCGATAAACCCGAATCCCGAAAGCAGAACGAAAGCCTTGTCGGATTAGGGTTTAGGGCTTATTTAAGGTTAAGGGCTTAGGCCCAAACCGCCGAGTTCTCTTCTACCTGAAGAGCAGGTAAAGGTAAAATCGCGGCCGTAGTCACCACATAGGTATTCCTTTGTTCCCTACTAGCCCCCAGTAAGAAAGGCTCGTAATTCTTCTACATGATTCTGAGGTTCAGGCAATCCTAACTTGAACGTCCAAGGTTGTTCTAACTCTGATCTTCAATCCCTAAAACCCATAACCCCTAAACCCTCATCTCAAATAGCAAAACCCTAAACCCGTTTCATACCCCTGCATATCCCTACATAACCCCTTTATATGTATATATATGATTAAAGACCTCCATCCTACCTTCCCCAATGTCCCTAAACCCTAAACCCTATAAATCCTACACCCGAAACCCTAAACCCTACTGTACGCTCCCATGGGCCTTCATCTCATCCAGGAGACGGAGCGCCTCGCTGACGTTGCGCTGCTTGGTGCAGCCATCCAAGATGGAGTTGTACCTTGGAATCACCATGGGTTCTAGGGTTCAGGGTTTAGGGTCTCCATACCCAAACAGTAGAGTTTTAGGGGTTTGGGCTTAGGAATAGCGATGGGTTCCCCTACTACACCCCCCAACCCTCCCTTGGGATCCCCCTAGTTCAGGATATTGGAGTACCTTGGAGTCCGCCGAAAGCAGGATGCAGGGATGATGGCCTAGGAAGTCGCGCGTGGGGATTACAGCTCAGGGACAGGCTTTCATTCTTTAGGGTTTAAGGTTTAGAGGCTAGGCCCTGAACCCTAAACCCTTGGGAAACCAAGATATGCAAATTTTTGACTGAAGAGATGCTCTGGTTTCAGACAACAATACACGGATGACATAGCAATCGTGTTCAAGAATAAGGGGTACTTCCTATAATAAGGACTATGGCATGTTGAGGGTATTACAGGTGTACCCTAATTTTTGGAAACAACCAGCTTTTTCTATGGCAGCGAAATATCCATTTCAGGGGGTATCAGGTTTGGGCGGCCCTATCGCTTCGCAAGGATTCTGGTCTTCTCCTGCGACCCTGTTGATACTAAAAATCGTACATGAACTTAGCATACTATACTGGAACTCCCACGGTGTAAGCTAAAACCTAGACCTCTAAAAACCTAACCCCTCACTTTTCATGCAGGATGTTTAGTATCCACCGTAGACCTTTTGTGGAGGAATTCTGCTGCAGCCTGAACCCTAAACACAGAGGCCACTCTGAAAATTGCGCGGGGGGGAATGTAAAGGCCTGAGCATATCTTACAAATGTCATTTGAACTATTTGAGGTACCCTGTAACTACCAGGTTGGTAGCTATTTAGGCCCTACAATGTTGCATTTCGGCCTGGGGCCGTTAGTTTGCACGGCTTTCATGCATGCCTGTGGAATCTTTAGCTCTGTCCTAACCTGGCCCGCCGAGTTAGTAAGGAACTCTACCTATGCCCCCCTGCTACCACTACCCATGAACCTCTAAGTACTAGCTTCGAAGGTTCGTCGAAGGTGCATGATCTCATCCGGCATGAAGTGTCCATCCCGTTTCATCTCCTGATTCGAACGCTGAACTGCTGTTGATCTTGGGTTTCTCGACTGTGGGTTACGCTGGCGTAGCCTACATCTAGGGAGTATGCAGGGATAAAATGGGTCTCCACTATGGTCATTGGAGAAACTCCCAAGAACCATCAACCCAGCAGAATCATGAGCCAAGATAACCCTCATCATCTCCGTGCTTCGCACGCGATCGTTGCTTCAACAGTGACTGCTGCTGACTGATTCACATCACCGTTGAGCCCCGCTCATCTTGCAAGAGCGGACGGAGCCCGAAGCCAATTAGCTATGTTTCAAACCATGCCAAGAACCCAGCAAGCCTTGGATGCAATTTCTTGATTACATCAGATCGAGGATTTTTCAATAATCCAACGTGCCTTCCTTAATTCCAGTGTCCGGGGCTCTCAAATGCCAAACTTAATGCTTACCCCTAGGCCCGAGAAGCCCTAACCCTTAGCCCAAAACCTATTACATCCTGAACCCTTCCCTAAACCCCACAAACCCTACACACCGCACCCAAACCGTAATCCCCGAACCGCCCCAAGCCCTTAACACCACTGACTAAGCGCCTAAGCTTGAAATTCCAGGCCTCGAGAACACTCAAGGCGCGCTCCACATCACCATTCAGGCAGTAACCTTTTGATTCAGCTATAGCTTTACACGACTGGGGATTACAGTTGTTGACGCTCTGTGAAGGAGGTTCTTCAGGGACAAGGCATATAGGCGGCCCTTCCATATCTAGGGCTTATGCTTAGGGTTGAGGGTTAGGTGCATCAGGCATGTCCAATCTTTTGAGGAGATTCCGATTACGAGGATCATAGCATATCGGAACATGTAATTGTCCCCTATGCATGGCAACTCCCATCTTGCTTTATAGCATCTGGGTTTGGGGGTACGGACTAGGGATTACAATTCAGGAGGAGTTCTCAATCGGTGATGAGCGATCGTGCACATCGAAATACTCACCGTTAACGCCCTAGTTCCAAAGCCCACAAACCCAAAACCTCAGCCCTGAACTATATCTCCCTATATAACTCCCATCTCCCCTTCGAAGAAGAATATTTTCTATACCCCTGCGCCCTAAAGCTCAAACATCAGGACGCCTTTGATGATGGTGGAGTAGGTGATGATGTCTGGCTCGATCTTGGATTCACGCATATCTTCCAGCAGCATCGAGGCCTTGCGGAACTTCGCAAAATTTATGAGCCCTTTGTAGGGTTCCTTATCCCACAGAGCGTATCATCTCAAAGGGGGATCCTCATGTTGAGAAATGCAACTATGGGAACTGGGCTGGGTCTTTAGGGGCTAGGTTCATTAGTTCTGGCTCTGCTGGGTAGCTCTTCACATATTCACAAGAGCTTCTTGACCGGTTGCAGGTGATGTTTTCCCAAGCACCTGCGCATTCAAGTATGCCCGAACCCTATAGGCCCCAAGACATCTTATAAATCCTCGGAGAGCCTTCTCCATCGAATTGCATTTCGCGCATGCATCCAGCATCGTGTTGTAGGTGATGGTGTTGCACGCGATGCTGTTGTTTCGCATCTCCTGTCAAGCAGGCGCTATGCGCCAACTAGCTTTTGATTTCAACCAGATCTTGGAACTTCCTTCCCACCTGAGCTATAGTCTAAACTTCTAGTATCCCCCTTAATATCCCGTATAATAGTCTTCTATAAAATCCCGTACATAATCCGCTTTGAAGGAGTCTGGACTATGGCTCACCTGAACTTCAAAACAGAACCGCGCCCAAGACGGATTGCTGCTTCCCATATCTACGCGGCTGCCACGTTAGCAGACTAAAAAATCAACTTGCGAACACCAGCGCGTCGGGACAATAGCAAATGCCTGACAGCATTTCAGCAGTATACTTAGACCTTTCAAGAGATCATGTGCAGATTAACATTCTGCTTACTTGAGAGATTCGCACACAATGCCTTGTTTTCGGAAACTGCCAAGACCCTGGATGGAGTGACTTCACGCTCCCCTGTGAACCAACGTTCGGTGGTCCTTGTATACGGCAAGCACTTTGTCAATGCGCTTCGACACCGCAAAGCCCTTCAGCACAGTCGAGTAAACCACCGTGTTGATCATGCTCTTGCCTGATGCTGTTCTTGTGCATCCATAGAATAATGCCGGGTTCTGATTATTAAACCCCCCCCCCCCAAACAACTCCGGCTCTGAATAAACCGGGGGGCCCCTAATCAAGTTCGGGAAAAGTTGTTTGGGGGGGCCGGGCAAATCCCGATCCTTAGGGCTATAAACAACCCTAAACTTCTTTTTGTCTTTTGTTTGTTTTTTTCTGCCTGGGCGTTTCCAGAAGCCAGCACGCATTATTCCGT